GTGTCAGGTGGACACAGAGTTAACAGGTTGCCCTGTTAACTCTGTGTCGAAAGTGGCTCATGCTACGATAGCTGGTCCACCTGAGTGCCGCTGCTACCCAAAAGTCACCCAAAGCCCTGAAGCTGCATGTGCAGCTATAACGTTATAAGTGCCATCTCACAGGATTTTCTTTTATATATGCATGCGCATATATATATGCGCATGCATATATATATGCATGCGCATATATATATATGCGCATGCAGTGCCTTACGAAAGTATTCAAGTCTCTACCAGCTTTACCTATTAAGAGGGAGAAATGTTCTTCCCATTCTTACTCCCAAAATAGCTCAAGCTTAGTCAGAATGGATCGAGGGAATAAGTCACATCAGTTTAAAAATGTAAAAATTGCCTCAGATTTTCAACCGAACTCTTCTAGGATTGTCATGCATTTATCTCCATCAACTCTGGCCAGAGTACCTAGCCATGCTGAAGAAAATGATTCCCACAGCATGCTGCTTCCACCACCATGCTTCACTGTAGAGATGGAGGGTTTAGAATGATGAACCCTCCGGGGTCAAGGTCTAGACATACTTATCCATGTCCTTGAGCTGCTTGGAACTTGCAGAGACCTTAACCTTGAAAAGTTTGGGCTTGAAAATGGTCAACTGAAAATAAAAACGAAGCTAAAAAAAGAATATGTATCTCTTTGCTAGCTACTTTTGCTAGATTCTCATGTGTTCTCACACTGCACTGCCTGAAATGTGAAGGTCACACACATTCAACAATGGTTTCCAGCTACAGCCTTGTGACGCTCAGTTTTTCCTCATACTCCCTAAATTTTTCTCCGACATTGCATCAACGCTTTTAAAAAAACCTTGGATGAGCTGTGACCCATCCTTCCATGGAAAGACTGAGCCTGAGTTTTTAGATTAAGCAGGATTGGTAAATATTGGTACCAAAAAAGATTAGATTTGTGTTTGTGTCTGCTAAAGACTCAAACAGATGAGCAAATTACAGATTCCTGTTTCTGCATTTTAAAGAATATTCTAGCATCTCTGGGCTTTCGAAAGTGTGATGTAACTGCTTTGAAGAAATATGGCCATGTAGAAAGACTGCTATGGCTTTGCCTGGAGTTTAGTTCAACTTTCTCTGCATCCCAGGAAACCTGAAGCTGCATGGTCTCCTTCAGTTTGTCCTTCAGCTGCATCTCCAGTGCTGACATCTCCGACCCACTCTTTTCTGGTACTCTGGTCTCCAAGTTCTGGCATGCAGCATGCAGCAGTTGACTAACAGCAGCACATTCACTTCGCATATCAGACAGCGCCCTATTGGAAAGAGTCATATGATTATGAACAATACATAAAAATTGTTGAACTATTGAACTGACATACTGCAAAAACAAAATCTAACCAGGTATTTTTGGTCTAGTTTCTAAAGCAAATGTCTTGGTACAATTGAAATAAGACAAAACTAAATTACAAGCAACTTTTCTGCAAAATATAGGAGCTATTTTGTATTTGCAATAGAAACTAGACATAAACACTTAGAATGTTTTTGCAGTGCAAGGACAAATGAGCTAAAAATTTCTGAGCCAGAATGTTAATTTAATTAATTTCTTTATCAGGGTAATTTTGAACTGTTGTAAATCATCTGATGAGAAACAGCTACTATAATGAGCAACTATTATTAAAGCTAAACACTGTTCTGAACACTTATTATGGTAGTTAAACGCTAAGGGGCTTTCACGGGTTTAAGAGTTCAAATTCTCTTCTGATAGATGATTTTTACAGTGAATAACGACACTGAGCCATCTGTCCCGGTTGAGGAAAGAATAAGCGGCGGGGGTGGGGTGAACGCTCACCCTGATGACCTGCTCCGCTTTGATCCTTCGATCAGAGATGCTGTTGCAGTCATGAGAGTGAAACACAGACGAGGTGGGGGCTATTCGCATACCCAAAAATTGCTGGAGAATTTCTGGCTCTTCGCCCCACTCACCTGTCAGTGAAAGTCTTTAACTGGGTGAAAGTGCTCCGCAGGGAGGCGGCCTGGCGCCACAGTGCCCTGACACGAGCCTGTTCACGACTCGACCGGGAGGCGTACGTCTGCAGACACAACGCCGGGATCTCATGAAGAAAAAGCCTGCAGTAGTTGTTGTGGCTTGCTTACTGCAACGTTTCCATTTTATTGTCATCCCTAAACACATGCAAACGCTGGAACTCCTAGACTCGCCCTGGCACGTTTAGAGCTAATTGGATTTCCCTCAGTCCACAGATGTAGAACATTTTACAGCAAGGAGAGCTGGATTGTTTGCACAATTTTTTTCCCTCCCTCTCAGCAGCTGGAATGTTTTCACAGGAAACAACAACTCAAAAAAAATAATAAAAAAAATGAACAGGGAACGAGAGTAAATTCAAGAAACTGGCTATGAATGGAATTCCAACCCCATGTGAACTCAGCAGGAGTTTAATTGTGCAATTTTTCAGCACTAAGGGGTGAACTTGAACTTTCCCTTTGCCTTTTAAGTTCAAGCCCTTCATTTAAGTGCTCCCTCCCCCCACCTCTTTCTCGCTGCGCAGGCGAGTATGAAACCGCTGAGCATCTTCGCGGATCTTCCTTAAGCTCTCCATTAGGCCCTTGTTGACAATGTCTACCTGGTCCAGTTGTTCCCGTAGCAGAGAGTTGACTTGGCTTAGGCTGGCACTCCTGCAAACAACATGTCATATCAAATAACAATAATAAAAAAACACTCTCTTGAAGCTTCTCTAAGTAGGATGCATTTAGATGACAGACATCTTAACTGTGTCAAGTTATATTCAGTATCAACCAGATCTGACAGATTACAAAATCTTCACACAGTTCTCTCCGACTCTGCCCACGCTGATATATTTTTAGGCAATTTGGAAAAGGAAAAAACAAGTTTATACAAGGTTTATTTAATATTAGGCTACATAGTTGCTTAAAAATTAGAGATGTAACTATGTTACAACTACTGCTGATGTGAAGCATTTAAGCATGTTTTAAATAACTGAGTGCATGCTACTTTTGAACACAAAAACATGAGGAGTTTCTTTATTAGGTAAAGCACAAAGTGCCTGTCACTCACCGGCTCCGCTCCTCCTGCAGCAGAGCAGTCTGTTTCTGGATAACGATGTTAAGATCTTGCTCAATACGCTTCTGAAGCTCAGTTGAGTACAGGTAGGCCTGCAGAGGAAGATAAAAACAAACTAACCTTTACCACTGGCAAACTAGTAACATTTAGCTATTGGGCAGCAGCTAAAGGTCAGGTTTTAACTGACATTAGTGAAGAAACCTTATTACTGGGCAGATTATGGACCTACATTCACTTTGGTAGATAGACTGCTCGGACTGACTAAACTAAGTAAATGTGCAAACCTAATCAACAGAGAAATTTTTAAAATCATCATCATTTATTGTCCTAAGTGGAAAAGTTTGCAATAGGTTCTCCATAAATTACAGAATAATAATTAAGGACTCAACTAATACTAATACTAATACTAATAAAGGTTTACAGATCTCTTTGAAAAAAAACAACTGGAATATACAAAATATATGTTTATAATGATTATTCTTGATTTTGATGATAGTATTTTACAAAACGCAATGTTTATTGTTTTTATAAGTGGTTATTGTGTTATGTTTTTCATGTAAAGCAATTTGAACTGCCTTGTTAATGAAATGCGGTATACAAATAAACTTGACTAACTAAACTAACTAAAAAAAAAAAAAAAAAAAAAAGGGTGGGGTTTTCAAAAAAATTCTTAAAAAAAAAATTTTTTTTCCTCTTTT